TTATGATACATCAGATTTTTTATGAAATGCATGTTTTTTTATGTCAGAGCCACAAGGTTCAGGCTTAAAAGTGATGGTGTTTCTAATTGAAAGTGCTTTGTCAATTTCCACAACAACCAGTTCCTGGTGACGTGGCACACCATTGATGCAGATTCTCCAGAGCTGAGCCATATCTTGTGTTGGACTCCTGCTGACCCTCCCACCGGCCTGTCCTACTTCTCCTCCATGTACCCCCCGCACCCCCTCACCGCTCAGTACGGGGTCAAAGTACTACGGTCCTTTCCTCCGGTACGACACACACACACACACTACGGACGTTTCCTCTGGTACGAAACACACACACACACACTATACCGTCACTAATCCATCTCAATCTCTAGGATGCCATCCTGTTCTACATTCCTCAGATTGTTCAGGCCCTGCGCTATGACAAGGTGAGTGACACTAAATTTAACTAACTGCTGCATTTCTACATTACCGTTTGTGTGTGTTTGGTTTTACTATCCTTGTGGAGACCAAAAGTCCTAACAAGGATAGTAAAACAAGAAACATTTGGACAGGTGGGGATGTTTCCCTCTAGGAAAAATTCTATTTTAGGGGTTAGGTATAGGTTTAGGGCAGGGTTAGCTTAAGGTTTAGGGGTAAGGAAAAATAGGTTTTTAGAATGGGAATCAATTGTTTGGTCCCCACAAGGATAGTAAAACAAACGTGTGTGTGTGTGTGTTTGATTGGCAGATGGGCTATGTGAGAGAGTACATCCTGTGGGCGGCCCAGACGTCTCAGCTGTTGGCCCACCAGTTCATCTGGAACATGAAGACTAACATCTACCTGGACGAGGAGGCACACCATAAAGACCGTGAGACACACATACACACACACTTATACTCACTCACACTTACTTGCGTGCGCAATCACACACCCCTGTCTCTTTCTGTCTCTCTCTGTCTCTCTCTCTCTCTCTCTCTCTCTCTCTGTCTCTGTCTGTGTGTATCTTACGCGGGATCTGTTGGAGGGAGAGTGGTTTGAGGAGATATAGGGCTCATCTGGTGCAGCTTAAGACTTCTTTCACAGAGAGAGTTTGACTCTTCGATAAAATCACCAACGTACCCATCATCAAGTAACTAACCCTATGTGGGGTAAATCTAATCTGAAACTTGCACCCCATTCCCTATATAGGCCACTACTGTTACCAATTAGTTTTTGATAGTGAAGTTGTTGTGTTTTATTAGGCCCACCCCAAAGGTGAGATGAGAGGAAGAGGGCGTGTCTCACAAAAGGGGGGAAGAGGGGAGGCGAGGGTGGCAAGGAGGCAGGTGGGTGTGGTAGCGCATATGCGTGTCTTGGGTGCGCAGCGGGCATTATTTTTTTGCTTTCCTTTTTTGTCTCCTCTTATTTTTTTTCTCTCTCTCTTTTCGCTTCACCTTCAATGTTCTGTTTCATCTAGAAGCTCTGTTTTTTTCTACCTTATATTAGATCAAAGCCGTCTACGTTAGATCCACAGAGTACAGATGTCGCAGCTGGGCGGGCTACCGCGTCAGACCACGTCTGTATATACTTGGGCAAAGGCAGTGTTGCGATAGGGGTCTGGCTTTTAGGCTAGTAGACATATACGATAGTGGTAGCGAAACCGTATCTGTTGTGTTTAACGTCTGTGGGTTAAAGGCACTAAGTACCAAGGCGGATTTTGCACGCGAGATGTAGACGGTAGAGCCCCCGTCTTTTGATCGGGAGTTGGATCCCAAAAGTTGTTTGATGAACTCAGAAGTGTTGGTCATTGGGGTTATCGACAATTTTTACTATGGGAGTGCTATAAGGTACGAGACGAATAAGTGACAACTCAAAAAGAAACATTGAACGGGTCGGGATAAATAAACCTACAGAACGGCACACCAGGTGCATAAAGACTTACGAACTGAGCAGAGGCTGGGGCGCAAACGAGCCAGAGGTTTAATCGTGGGATTTTTAGGTTGCGAATTTGTTTCCCTTGAACCGAGAGCTGCGGAAATCTAGCAAACGTTAAAGAAAGCTGAAGACGGTGGCGGGATGGATCGTACAGGTCGGAGGGAGGAAGTCTAAATGAGTTAAGCCACGAGCTACTAAGAAGACAAAAAAATGAAGGCAAGGCCAGCCGTCATAAAAGACAGTCTCTGCGTGGAAAATCTACAGTTCGATGTCACTCAAAGACAGGAGGCTACACAAAGAACCACCAACACCTCACACGTTGTTAGCAAAGCTCGTCAAAGGCGGTACCGCGGGGGGCCTTCAATTCTGCGAGCCGGCGAAGAACGCCCAATTGGTGTGAAGGGGTGAAGAGTCTCGACCGGGAAAGGAATCGACAAGGCTTTTGCGGATCGGTAATTGAAGGCAATTAAAAAGACATGATAAAGCCTAGCTTAACATCGTAGACCTTGCACGAGAAACCTGGAGAAGAAAAAGCCCGCAACTAATTATTGACTGCAAGAAACAAGCAAATAAAGGGGTAAATGAGTCTACGAAATATAAGAAAAGATGGGCATAGGAGAGGTGTTTACTGCACCATTGTTAATAGGAACGACATAAGGATTAAAAAAAAGGATGTCTTGACAAAACTCAAAAGGACGGGTGAACTCAAGACATACATGTACGCATAGTTAGGATTCTGGTGATGGCAAGGATCTACTTTAATTCCCTTAAAAGCTACGCGTTGAGCATTTTTGGAAAACAGGTGGTACGTTGTAGATCTGTTTGTTCGGAAAACAGTACGTAAGAGCAACGTGAAGATCCGATAACTTGCGTGGGTAATTTGCTTACCTATTACTGATGGTGAGGCAATACTGCTTGTTCATTGACGTACATTTTAGACGGGCTCTGTCTGACATCCAAGTCCAGCAAGGTAACAACAGCTAGGAGACGTCCGATGTTTGCTAGGTCGTTATGTCTGTGCGGGTGCATGTTTGGATTACAGTTAGGTGTATTTTAAGTGTGATATTTTGACCTAGGTGTTTTGACCTTTGTAATCATTTTTTCCTGTATCTGTCATTGTGCTATGTGGAAGCAGTCAGTCACAGTGTAGTGTCCATCTGTGTGTGTCCTGACTGTCTTCTCTGTGCTTCTGCTGTCTTCTCTGTGCCGTCTGACTGTCTTCGCTGTGCGTCTGACTGTCTGTCCTGTGCGTCGACTGTCGTCTCTGTGCGTACTAGACTGTCTGTCCTCTGTGGGCGTCTGACTGTCCGTCTCTGTGCGTCGACTGTCTGTCTCTGCGCGTCTGACTGTCCTGTCTCTGTGTGTCTGACTGTCTGTCTCTGTGTGTCTGACTGTCTGTCTCTGTGCGTTGACTGTCTTCTCGTGCGTCTGACTGTCTGTCTCTGTGCGTCTGACTTCTGTCTCTGTGTGTCTGACTGTCCTACCGTCTGTCTCTGTGCGTCTGACTGTCTGTCCTCTGTGCATCTGACTGTCTGTCCTCTGTGCGTCTTACTGTCTGTCTCTGTGCGTCTGACTGTCCTGTCTCTGTGCGTCTGACGTCTGACTGTCTGTCTCTGTGCGTCTGACTGTTGTCTCTGTGCATCTGACTGTCTGTCCTCTGTGCGTCTGACTGTCTGGTCCTCTGTGCGTCTGACTGTCTGTCTCTGTGCTCTGACTGTCTGGCTGTCTCTGTGCGTCTGACTGTCTGTTCTGTCCTCTGTGCGTCGACTGTCTTCTCTGTGCGCTGTACCGTCTGTCTCTGTGCGTCTGACTGTCTGTCTCTGTCGTCTGACTGTCTGTCTTTGCGTCTGGACTGTCTGCTCTGTGCGTCTGAACTGTCTGTCTCTGTGCGTCTGACTGTCTGTCTCTGTGCGTCTGACTGTCTGTCTCGGTGCGTCTTACTGTCTGTCCCTCTTTGCGTCTGACTGTCTGACTGTCTGTCTCCTCTCTGTGCGTCCTGACTGTCTGTCCTCTCTCTTTGCCATCTGACTGTCTGTCTCTTGTGCGTCTGACGGTCCTGTCTCTGGTGTCGTCTACTGTCCTGTCTCGTGCTCTGACTGTCTGTTCTCTGTGCGTCTGACTGTCTGACTGTCTGTCGCTGTGCAATCTGACTGTCCCTGTCTCTGTGCGTCTGACTGTCCTTCTCTGTGCTCTGACTGTCTGTCTCTGTCTCCTGACTGTTCTGTCTCTAGTGCGTCTGACGGCCCTGTCTCTTGTGCTTCTGACTGTCTGTCTCTGTGCGTCTTGACTGTCTGTCTCTGTGCGTCTTCTGTCTGTCTCTGTGCCTTCGACTGTCACTGTCTGTCTCTGCGTCTGACGCTGGCTCCTGTGGTCTGACTGTCTGTCTCTGTGCTTCTGAACTGTCTGTCTCTGTGCGTCTTGACTGTCCTGTCCTGTGCGTCCTGACTGTCCTTCCTCTGTGCTTCTGACTGTCCTGTCTCTGTGCGTCGGGACCTGTCTGTCTCTTGTGCTCTGACTGTCTGTCTCTGTCATTGACTGCTGTCCCTGTGCGTCCTGACTGTCTGTCTCTGTGCGTCTGGACTGTCGTCTCTGGGGCATCGACTGTCTGTCGCTGTCTCCCCCCCCCCGTGGCTATCCTCCAGGCTGCTACCTGCCAGTAACCCAGAGGCCTCGTACTGACATCGACTACAAGTCGGAACCACACTTGCAGAGGTAGCTCACCTCACTGATTTTCTTCATTTGTTGATTTGATTGATGATTTCAGCCTTACAAAGACCTTCCATTTGAAACGTTTGCAATAAAGTAACAGGAACATTCAATGGTGTGGGGATATCTTAGTCCTTCTTATGCTATCCCAGGCATCTATTCTGACTGCTGACTGCTGTCCTCTGGTCTCTCCCAGTGCTGCAAAGGGCCCCTACCTGGCTCAGTTTACAGGTGAAGCGTTGTGGGTTCAGTGAGCGGGAAGAGGGTCTGCGTTTGTCATACTGACTCCCAGGACCGTGGAGCCGGGCGAAGACGTAGCTCGTCAGGATCGTCTGGCAGGCCGCCATCTTTAAATTGGAGACGACTGCGACAGGGAGGAGAGATAGACCAACCATAGCAACGCCACAAGCATATTTGACGTACTCAGCACTTATAACCTATTTCTTCTTTTTCAATCAGCATTTTTTTTGTATTTTTATTTTCCTCTCTTCTCTTCCTTTCCCCAGACATGCTGGCTCTCCAGATCATTGGTCTGTTTAAGAACATTTCCAGCTGGTGGGACTGGTACCGGTGTGGTTTCCATACAGAGTGTGGCTACAGCCCTGGGTATTAGACTTACCCCTACACCCAGGCTGACACTAGATCAGTCGGCAGGTCCGCTTTTTTGTCGGAGTGGCTGGTTCGGGGGACGGAAATAATAATTTTGTAGACTGCAAATTGACACAACTAATCCCAAATAGAGATTATATTTCCAAATACACTCATTCATACCTGATTACATTGAGACATGTCTCGTTTTTTTTTATTTGTAGGAATACTTGGGAACATATTTTAAAATGTAAACACAGTTTTAGCTGAATTCAAATAAAATACCATTATTAGCTTGTTTCAGGAGTCTTTTGGACCTAGACTTTGCCTCCGTACCGCTTGCCGTGCGTTGCAGAGGAACATTCCTTATGACTAGGTGGGCTGGAGGCTTTGACATTTTTTAGGCCTTCCTCTGACACCGCCTGGCAGAGGTCTGTGGTGGCAGGAAGCTTGGCCCTGTGATTACAGGGCCGTACACACTACCCTCTTTAGTGCCATTGCCGGTCGAGGCCGAGCCATTTCCATACCAGTCAGTATGCAACAGTTCAGGATGCTCCCAATGGTCAGTGTAAACATTTTGGAGATCCTGAGGACCCATGCCAAATCTTTTTCATCTCCTGGGCGGGAATATAGGTGGTTGTCGGCCCTCTTCACGACTGTCCTTGGATTGTAGTATTTTATATTTTACCAAAAACTAAATCCCCGACAAAATTATTTTTTTGGAGGGGCAAATTACTTCCTCCAGTTTTTGGCCCATGGGCCGCCTTTTTCCGTCCTCTGCCTAACCCCTGCACCCTAATCTTTATTAAACCTTGACGTTGTCCTTGTTATCTGTGCAGTGTAGCGTCACAGTAATGGTTTCCCTGTCTCTGTGTCAGTGTGGTTGATGAGTTGTATCCCAGACTGTAAACCCGTGACCAACTGGCAGACAGACAGACTTTGGGAGGTATACTACTTCAGAAACCATAATGGCGATGAGTCCCACTCTGCGCCTCCAGAAGGTGAGATGACTGGGCTTTCCTACGACCCTAAACTCTGACCGCTGACCTGAGCCTCGTCCTGTGCCTTATTCTTCATACTCTGGAATTCAGATTATAAAAACACCACTAGTCTCACTCACTAGCGTCGCAGTCTCTGTTCTGCTCTCTCTGTCTCTCTCTGTCTCTCTCTCTCTCTCTCTGTCTCTGTCTGTGTGTAGCTGACATCGGGGATCTGTTGGAGGAGATGGTTGAGGAGATAATAGGCGCTCAGTCTGGTGCAGCTAAAGACTTCTTCCAGAGAGAGTTTGACTTCTTCGATAAAATCACCAACGTATCTGCCATCATCAAGTAAGACTAACACCTATTGGGGTAAATCTAATCTGAAATTGCACCCCATTCCCTATATAGTCCACTACTGTTAACCAATTAGTTTCTTGATATTGAAGTGTTGGTGTTTTATTAGGCCCACCCCAAAGGGAGATGAGAGGAAGAGGGCGTGTCTCAAAGCTCTGTCTGACATCAAAGTCCAGCAAGGTAACAACAGCTAGGAGACGTCCATGTTGCTAGGTCTGTTATGTCTGTGCGGGTGCATGTTTGATTACAGTGAGGTGTATTGTAAGTGTGAATAGTTTTGACCTAGGTGTTTTGACCTTTGTAAGCAGTTTTCCTGTATCTGTCATTGTGCTATGTGGAAGCAGTAGTCACAGTGTAGTGTCCATCTGTGTGTGTCTGACTGTCTGTCTCTGTGCGTCTGACTGTCTGTCTCTGTGCGTCTGACTGTCTGTCTCTGTGCGTCTGACTGTCTGTCTCTGTGCGTCTGACTGTCTGTCTCTGTGCGTCTGACTGTCTGTCTCTGTGCGTCTGACTGTCTGTCTCTGTGCGTCTGACTGTCTGTCTCTGTGCGTCTGACTGTCTGTCTCTGTGTGTCTGACTGTCTGTCTCTGTGTGTCTGACTGTCTGTCTCTGTGCGTCTGACTGTCTGTCTCTGTGCGTCTGACTGTCTGTCTCTGTGCGTCTGACTGTCTGTCTCTGTGTGTCTGACTGTCTGACTGTCTGTCTCTGTGCGTCTGACTGTCTGTCTCTGTGCATCTGACTGTCTGTCTCTGTGCGTCTGACTGTCTGTCTCTGTGCGTCTGACTGTCTGTCTCTGTGCGTCTGACTGTCTGACTGTCTGTCTCTGTGCGTCTGACTGTCTGTCTCTGTGCATCTGACTGTCTGTCTCTGTGCGTCTGACTGTCTGTCTCTGTGCGTCTGACTGTCTGTCTCTGTGCGTCTGACTGTCTGTCTGTCTCTGTGCGTCTGACTGTCTGTCTGTCTCTGTGCGTCTGACTGTCTGTCTCTGTGCGTCTGACTGTCTGTCTCTGTGCGTCTGACTGTCTGTCTCTGTGCGTCTGACTGTCTGTCTCTGTGCGTCTGACTGTCTGTCTCTGTGCGTCTGACGTTGTCTCGTGCGTCTGACTGTCTGTCTCTGTGCGTCTGACTGTCTGTCTCTGTGCGTCTGACTGTCTGTTCCTGTGCGTCTGACTGTCTGACTGTCTGTCTCTGTGCGTCTGACTGTCTGTCTCGTGCATCTGACTGTCTGTCTCTGTGCGTCAGTCTGACTGTCTGTCTCTGTGCGTCTGACTGTCTGTCTCTGTGCGTCTGACTGTCTGTCTCTGTGCGTCTGACTGTCTGACTGTCTGTCTCTGTGCATCTGACTGTCTGTCTCTGTGCGTCTGACTGTCTGTCTCTGTGCGTCTGACTGTCTGTCTCTGTGCGTCTGACTGTCTGTCTCTGTGCGTCTGACTGTCTGTCTCTGTGCGTCTGACTGTCTGTCTCTGTGCGTCTGACTGTCTGTCTCTGTGCGTCTGACTGTCTGTCTCTGTGCGTCTGACTGTCTGACTGTCTGTCTCTGTGCGTCTGACTGTCCTGTCTCTGTGCGTCTGACTGTCTGTCTCTGTGCGTCTGACTGTCTGTCTCTGTGCGTCTGACTGTCTGTCTCTGTGCGTCTGACTGTCTGTCTCTGTGCGTCTGACGTCTGTCTCTGTGCGTCTGACTGTCTGTTGGCGTCTGACTGTCTGTCTCTGTGCATCTGACTGTCTGTCTCTGTGCATCTGACTGTCTGTCTCTGTGCGTCTGACTGTCTGTCTCTGTGCGTCTGACTGTCTGTCTCTGTGCATCTGACTGTCTGTCTCTGTCTCCCCCCCCCCGGTGGCTATCCTCCAGGCTGCTACCTGCCCAGTAACCCAGAGGCCATCGTACTGGACATCGACTACAAGTCTGGAACACCCTTGCAGAGGTACTCACTCACTGATTTTATTCATTTGATTGATTGATTGATTGATTTCATGCCTGACAAAGACCTTCCAGTTGAAACGTTGCAATAAAGTATACAGGAACATTCAATGGTGTGTGGATATCTATTCCTTTCTTATGCTATCACAGGATCTATATCTGACTGCTGACTGCTGTCTCTGGTCTCTCCCAGTGCTGCCAAGGCCCCATACCTGGCTAAGTTTAAGGTGAAGCGTTGTGGGGTCAGTGAGCTGGAGAAAGAGGGTCTGCGTTGTCAGACTGACTCCCAGGACGTGGAGCCGGGCGAAGACGTAGCTCGCAGGATCGTCTGGCAGGCCGCCATCTTTAAAGTGGGAGACGACTGCAGACAGGTAGGAGAGATAGACCAACATAGGCACACGCCACAAGCAGATTTGACGTACTCAGCACTTATAAACTATTTTCTTTTTCAATCAGCATTTTTTTTGTATTTTATTTTCCTCTCTGTCTCTTTCTTTCCCCCCAGGACATGCTGGCTCTCCAGATCATTGGTCTGTTTAAGAACATCTTCCAGCTGGTGGGACTGGACCTGTTTGTGTTTCCATACAGAGTGGTGGCTACAGCCCCTGGGGTATGTAGACTTATCCCCTACACCAGGGCTAGACAGCTAGATTCAGTCGCAGGCCGATTTTTTGTCGGAGTGGATGGTTCAGGGGGACGGAAAATAATAATTTGTAGACTGCAAATTGACCACAACTAAGCCCAAATAGAGATTATATTTCCAAATACAATCATTTCATACCTTGATTACATTGAGACATGTCTCTTTTTTTTTATTTGTAGGAATACTTGGGAACAGATTTTAAAAATGTAACACATTTTTAGCTGAATTCAAATAAAATAGCCATTTGATTAGCTGTTCAGGAGTCTTTTGGACCTAGACTTTGCTCTCCGGTACCGCTTGCCGTGCGGTAGCAGAGAGAACAGTCTATGACTAGGGTGGCTGGAGGCTTTGACAATTTTTAGGGCCTTCCTCTGACACCGCCTGGTATAGAGGTCTTGGATGGCAGGAAGCTTGGCCCCTGTGATGTACAGGGCCGTACACACTACCCTCTGTAGTGCATTGCGGTCGGAGGCCGAGCAGTTGCCATACCAGGCAGTGATGCAACCAGTCAGGATGCTCCCAATGGTGCAGCTGTAGAACATTTTGAGGATCTGAGGACCCATGCCAAATCTTTTCAGTCTCCTGGGCGGGAATAGGTGTTGTCGTGCCCTCTTCACGACTGTCTTGGTGATTGTAGTATTTTATTTAACCAAAAACTAAAATCCCCACAAAATTATTTTTTTGGAGGGGGCAAAATTACTTACGGCCCAGTTTTGGCCCATGGGCCGCCTGTTTCCGTCCTCTGCCCTAACCCCTGCACCCTAATCTTTATTAAACCTTGACCTTTGTCTTGTTATTCTGTGCAGTGTAGCGTCACAGTAATGGTTTCCCTGTCTCTGTGTCCAGTGTGGTGTGATCGAGTGTATCCCAGACTGTAAATCCCGTGACCAACTGGGCAGACAGACAGACTTTGGGATGTATGACTACTTCAGAAACCAGTATGGAGATGAGTCCACTCTGGCCTTCCAGAAGGTGAGATGACTGGGCTGTCCTACGACCACTAAACTCTGACCGCTGACCTGAGCCTCGTCTGTGCCATTATTCTTCATTAATCTGGAATTCAGGATTATAAAAAATATATAAATACTCTTGAGTACATACAGTATGTAATTAAAATGGACCTGTTGCCTTAATAAACATACTTCAACTATTTTACTTTATAAACATTGTTTATAAAAGGTGCTACCTAATCTCTTCCTCTCTCTTTCCCTCCTCTCCAGGCGAGGTATAACTTCATCCGTAGTATGGCTGCTTACAGCCTGCTGCTCTTCCTACTGCAAATCAAAGATAGACACAACGGGAACATCATGCTGGACAGCAAGGGACACCTTATCCACATAGGTACAAAATCATCCATAACATCATCCACATTGGTACACAATCAATCATCCTTAATCTCATCCAAAACATAATCCACATGGGAAAACAACCATCCTTAACCTCATCCAAAACATCATCCACACAATCATTCATTTAATACAGCAAGGGTGGACAGCTTTATCTCTTTGTGACAATAAATATATTAATTTAATTTCTATGAATTGTCTAAAACAGCATCTGCTTTCAGACTTTGGCTTCATGTTTGAGAGTTCTCCTGGTGGTAACCTGGGCTGGGAGCCAGACATCAAGCTGACTGATGAGATGGTGATGATCATGGGAGGCAAGATGGAGGCCACACCCTTCAAATGGTTCATGGAGATGTGTGTCAGGGGATACCTGGCTGTCAGGTAAGAGTGTGTGTGGGGGGTTGTGGTTGGTGTGTGTCTCAATCTAATTTGCATCTAAACTGTCTTTCTGTGGGTTTAGCTGATTTTTGATTCTCCTCTCCGTCAGGCCCTACATGGATGCAGTGGTGTCTCTAGTCACTCTGATGCTGGACACTGGACTACCATGCTTCAGAGGACAGACCATCAAACTGCTCAAGTCAGTACATCAGTAAACCACATGGGAGCACAGATTACGTCGTGCCAAGTCTCGTGAACATTTCTGACCATGTCTGTTTGTGTTCACAGGCAGCGATTCAACCCCAGTATGAGTGAGAAGGAGGCGGCTGCTTTCATCATCAAGGTCATCCAGAGCTGCTTCCTCAGCAGCAGGTAACACCACTGGCCCTGTTCCATTTGACCTCCTTTCCTCACTATGGCCCCGCCCCCATTCGTCTCTAGCTCCTTTCTTGACGCCTATGGCCCCAACTCAGCCACAGGAAACATCCATAATGCTGACTAACTGTCTATATACACATGCTATACATGCTAACTGTCTGTTTTCTCTGTCTGTCTTTCCTCAGGAGCAAGACCTATGATATGCTTCAGTATTACCAGAACCAGATCCCATACTAAAGACCTGGTTGCAGTATTATCACATACTGAAGACTTGGGACCTGTCTGATACGAGTCCTTATTCCCTATATAGGCAGTAACCTCTGCTTTAGACTGTCTGTAAGTTCAGAGGTTGTCCTATATACAAAGTAATTATCCTCGGCTTGCTAGCTAGCTAACGTCCAGCAACTTGTGCACTTTATAGATCGCTGTATTTCACCCACCTGATTGGACCCTTTATCAAGAGCTGTTATACTAGACTAGAGAAATCCCACTAACCAATCAATCAACCAAACAACCAATCACACAACCTGTAACTGAACTCCAATACAATCACCAAATCTCACGGTCATAATCCATATATCACGTATCAATGTCTTGATGCAATCACATAGTGTGTGTGTGTGTGTGTGTCCAGTAGTTAAAAGCGATGAGTAGGATCTTCTCTTGGTGGACATTTCTAATGGTGGCGCTAGTGACTATATCTGTCTTGAGTCAATCACATACTGTGTGTGTCCGCTCCAAGGTGGTTGTTTCCAATCCAGAATAAACCAGTGTTTGTTTACCTACTAACCCACTAACTCTACATGTCTCATGACCTTCTAGTAGTAATATCTTACATGGATTTAGTAGCGGTCTTAAACAGGTGTGTGTGAGATTCTGTTTGGAGACATTCTTCTTTCTGCACAAAGAAAGATTTTAATCACCTTCAACCCTGTACTTGAATCTCCAGGATTTGCATTTAGTATTAGGATGGTGGTGGTGGTGGTGGTGGTGATTACAATGACGATGAAGACCCCAAAAGCCATTTCTCTAAACCTTGGAACAAACAGATGGGTAGTATTACATGACGACTACACTCCTCTGATGTTATGCTAGATGTTACCTTCTTAATGTGTGTCAACATATGAGATTGCTGTCATAATCCCTTCAAAAACCCTGCTGTTGTCACGCTGTATTTATATCCATTTTCGGTCTTTATGAAGATGTTTTACTTGATAGTCTGTAAAGATAATTAATCTTACATCTGTCTATCATTTTAGATTAGATGGTATGTATTATTTTTGTGCTGAATGGATATGTTATTATTAATATATAATAATTATTTTACTGAGGGTATTTCATTTTATACATCCATGTATGTTTTACAGAGTATGTTTGTAATATAACATGGGCGGCAGGTCGGCTAGCGGTTAAGAGCATTCGGACAGTAATCGAAAGGTCACTGGTTCGAATGCCCAAGCTGATTGGTGAAAAATCTACCGATGTGCCCTTGAGCAAGACACTTAACCCTAATTGCTCCTGTGAGTCGCTATGGATAAGAGCGTCTGCTAAATGACAAAAATGTAAATTTACAAGTTAAGTATATTACAGAGTACTGTACGTTAGGGCTGTACAGTGCAACCATTTTACTCGCATATGCGCCTAAATGTTTTGCTGTGTGACCTAGAATTTTAATTTAGGCGCACCAGTGCACCTAGAAAAATTAAGGATTCTAGCTTTAATACTTCAAATATTTTTCATTGTGCGCCTTTAGTTTATTTGTGTGGGCCTACATTTTTCAACTTAGGCGCACACATGCTCGTTGTAAAAAAAGGTCAGCGTAGAGAGCCCTGCTGTATGTACTGTATGGTTGTAATGGCTAACAAGACATGCATTTCAGACCAATGAGATGATAAAGAGCTGTTCCATTGTTAGTAGTCTTTTTATTGGACTGTTGTATTGTGATAAAGTGCTGAAACATAAACCCCAGTTTACGTGAGTGTCATCTATCTATAATGAAAACATATATAAACGCAACAATTTCAATGGTTTTACTGAGTTACAGTTCATATAAGTAATTCAGTCAATTGAATTAAATTCCTTAGGCTCTAATCTATGGATTTCACATGACTGGGCAGGAGATCAGCCAATCAGAATGAGTTTTTCCCCACAAAAGGGCTTTATTACAGACAGAAATACTCCTCAGCATCCCCACCCTCCCCACTCAGATGATCCCGCAGGTGAAGAAGCCGGAACAGAGAGATCCTTGATGAAAACCTGCTCCAGAGCGCTCAGGACCTCAGACTGGGGTTGAAGGTTCACCTTCCAACAGGACAATGACCCTAAGCACACAGCCAAGACAACGCAGGAGTGGCTTCGGGACAAGTCTCTGAATGTCCTTGAGTGGGGTTGGGGGGAAGGGTGTATACAGAAGATAGCCCTATTTGGTAAAAGACCAAGTCCATATTATAGCAAGAACAGCTCAAATAAGCAAAGAGAAAAGACAGTCCATCATTACTTCAAGACATGAAGGTCAGTCAATACAGAAAATGTGAAGAACTTTGAAAGTTTCTTCAAGTGCAGTCGCAAAAACCATCAAGCTCTATGATGAAACTGGCTCTCATGAGGACCGCCACAGCAAAGGAAGACCCAGAGTTACCTCTGCTGCAGAGGATAAGTTCATTAGAGTTACCAGCCTCAGAAATTGCAGCCCAAATAAATGCTTCACAGAGTTCAAGTAACAGACACATCTCAACATCAACTGTTCAGAGAAGACTGTGTGAATCAGGCCTTCATGGTCGAATTGCTGCAACGAAACCACTACTAAAGGACACCAATAAAAAGAAGAGACTTGCTTGGGCCAAGAAACATGAGCAATGGACATTATACCGGTGGAAATGTGTCCTTTGGTCTGGAGTCCAAATTTGAGATTTTTGGTTCCAACAGCTGTGTCTTTGTGAGACGCAGTGTTGGTGAACGGATGATCTCCGCATGTGTAGTTCCCACCATGAAGCATGGAGGAGGAGGTGTGATGGTGTGGGGGTGCTTTGCTGGTGACACTGTGATTTATTTAGAATTCAAGGCACACTTACAGTGAGGGGAAAAAGTATTTGATCCCCTGCTGATTTTGTAAGTTTGCCCACTGACAAAGAAATGATCAGTCTAATTTTAGTGGTAGATTTATTTGAACAGTGAGAGACAGAATAACAACAACAAAATCCAGAAAAACGCATGTCGAAAATGTTATAAATTGATTTGCATTTTAATGAGGGAAATAAGTATTTGACCCCCTCTCAATCAGAAAGATTTCGGGCTCCCAGGTGTCTTTTATAAAGGTAACGAGCTGAGATTAGGAGCACACTCTTAAAGGGAGTGCTCCTAATCTCAGCTTGTTACCTGTATAAAAGACACCTGTCCACAGAAGCAATCAATCAATCAGATTCCAAACTCTCCACCATGGCCAAGACCAAAGAGCTCTCCAAGGATGTCAGGGACAAGATTGTAGACCTACACAAGGCTGGAATGGGCTACAAGACCATCGCCAAGCAGCTTGGTGAGAAGGTGACAATAGTTGGTGCGATTATTCGCAAATGGAAGAAACACAAAAGACCTGTCAATCTCCCTCAGCCTGGGACTCCATGCAAGATCTCACCTCGTGGAGTTGCAATGATCATGAGAACGGTGAGGAATCAGCCCAGAACTACACGGGAGGATCTTATCAATTATCTCAAGGCAGCTGGGACCATAGTCACCAAGAAAACAATTGGTAACACACTACGCCGTGAAGGACTGAAATCCTGCAGCACCCGCAAGGTCCCTCTGCTCAAGAAAGCACATATACAGGGCCATCTGAAGTTTGCCAATGAACATCTGAATGATTCAGAGGACAACTGGGTGAAAGTGTTGTGGTCAGATGAGACCAAAATTGAGCTCTTTGGCATCAACTCAACTCGCCGTGTTTGGAGGAGAAGGAATGCTGCCTATGACCCCAAGAACACCTTCCCCACTGTCAAACATGGAGGTGGAAACATTCTGCTATGGGGGTGTTTTTCTGCTAAGGGGACAGGACAACTTCACCGCATCAAAGGGACGATGGATGGGGCCATGTACCGTCAAATCTTGGGTGAGAACCTCCTTCCCTCAGCCAGGGCATTGAAAATTGGTCGTGCATGGGTATTCCAGCATGACAATGACCCAACACACCAGGCCAAGGCAACAAAGGAGTGGCTCAAGAAGAAGCACATTAAGGTCCTGGAGTGGCCTAGCCAGTCTCCACACCTTAATCCCGTAGAAAATCTGTGGAGGGAGCTGAAGGTTCGAGTTGCCAAACGTCAGCCTCGAAACCTTAATGACTTGGAGAAGATCTGCAAAGAGGAGTTGAACAAAATCCCTCCTGAGATGTGTGAAAACCTGGTGGCCAACTACAAGAAACGTCTGACCTCTGTGATTGCCAACAAGGGCTTTGCCACCAAGTACTAAGTCATGTTTTGCAGAGGGGTCAAATACTTATTTCCCTCATTAAAATGCAAATCAAGTTATAACAGTTTTTACATGCGTTTCTCTGGATTTTGTTGTTGTTATTCTGTCTCTCAATGTTCAAATAAACCTACCATTAAAATTATAGACTGATCATGTCTTTGTCAGTGGGCAAATGTACAAAATCAGCAGGGGATCAAATACTTTTTTCCCTCACTGTAACCAGCATGGCTACCACAGCATTCTGCAGCGATACACCATCCCATCTGGTTTGGGCTTAGTGGGACTATCATTTGTTTTTCAACAGGACCATACATTTACGTCATTTAGCAGACGCTCTTATCCAGAGCGACTTACAGTTAGTGAGTGCATACATTATTTTTATTTTTTTATACTGGTCCCCTGTGGAAAACGAACCCACAACCCTGCCGTTGCAAACGCCATGCTCTACCAACTGAGCTACACGGGACTATGACCCAACACACCTCCAGGCTGTGTAAGGGCTATTTGACCAAGAAGGAGAGTGATGGAGTTCTGCATCAGATGACCTGGCCTCCACAATATCCTGACCTCAACCCAATTGAGATGGTTTGGGATGAGTTGGACCACAGAGTGAAGGAAAAGCAGCCAACAAGTGCTCAGCATATGTGAGAACTCCTTCAAGACTGTTGGAAAAGCAGTCCAGGTGAAGCTGGTTGAGAGAATGCCAAGAGTGTCCATGTCACGTTCGTTGTGTAAAGGATCGGACCAAGGTGCAGCGTGGTATGCGTACATAGTCGTTT